AAAAATAAATGGTAAAAAGAGGGAGAGAAGAAAAAACGAATACTAGGGGAGCCAAAGGGAGTATTTATCATATAGTACTTTATCAATTGTGGTCCGGGTAACTTCTGTAATGCTTGACTCAATTTCTAGCAGCGCGGTCTCTATATCACTGGCCTCTCGGAGTTCAAAGAGATATGCTTGGGCCACACCTCTGACTTGAGCCGCTGGTGGTGAAAAACCCTCTAACCGCAAAATTTGCAATAATGTGTTGGTGAAATGTCCATTCCATAATCTTTTGCAGAGTTCATCGTAGTACTTGAAGAAGTAATATTTATCCAATGGGAAAAGACATGAATGTCGTCTTTGTGAGGGATGTGACACCTCACATCCTTGACAGACATCTTCTCTGTGTTTCTGGATCAAGGAGTTGACGAGGAACTTTAGAGTCAATTTTATAAGTTCAAACACAGCAGTAGGGAGTAGACTCGCGGCCTCATCGTTGTCCGCGGGCAAAGGCTCGATGTCTTCAGACTCTCGGAAAAGAGCCCGGCACACAGGGTCGCCCATGGCCCACAGTGATGCACCGGAGATTGCGGTGCTTGAGGGGCTCGGGTCCGGTGATTGCCACCCGTTAGTGGCTAGTTGCGGGTGGCTGGGCGAGTTCCATCCTTGAGGTGATGAGGCCGGGGTTGGAGGGATAGCGTCCGGAGACACTGAGGCCTGATGCGGGCTCTCGATCAACGGACTGGATGGCGGAGTAGCCAGATCGATTGGCGGAGTGGGTGGCGGTGTAGCGAGATCCATAGGCGGGCTGGGTGGTGGTGTAGAAGCAGCTGATGGTCGGAGGGATGATGGAGATAGAGAGCTGAGGGGTCCAAAGCTGTGGTTAGTCATGGTTGTTTTAAGTAGTGGATGAGAGAGCGACTGCGGTTTTTAAGGGTTAGGGTTAGGAGAAGGCGGGGTAAGGGGGGACCGGAAGTGGGGGTGGGGGTATGTTGACCGTGGCGGGTTATTTCCAACCATCACCAGCTCAGTTGTACTTTTACTCATTTTGAACAGGTTTAATATTGTCGCATTGTTCTCGGCCATCATGTTGAGCCAGTGCTGAGTCGGAATCCGAAGCAATGTGCTGAAAACCCCTGACTGGGAGTTTGTAAGGTCGATCACAAAATCATCTGTGCAAGCTTGCTCGCATGTTTGTCGACTAACTCTACATACCCATCTGCAAAATGGAGTGCTCTTGGTCTCCCACTGGGTGTATGTAACGGTTTTGGTCACCGTGTTTTCAGTCCGGAGTCGTTTGTGTTCTTGGGTGAATGGAGGGAATGAGTATTCCTCTTTGAAAACCCGATGCGTCTGTGTTTGCTGGTCTCTGGTTCGCGGTTGCTGAGAGCTGGTTTCCCGCACGCTTCTCTCTATTTCAGGGGTGGTAATGAGTGTAATAACCGCCCAGTCAGAGCTAGTAAAAGCGATCCGCGGCGTTAGCGGACCAAAACTTTCACTGGCTTTGAGCTGATAGAAAAAGATTTCACTCTGTGGTAGGCTGAAGGCATAACCCCAAAACCTGCCATTGTTGAGGCTGAATCTTTGCTCCAAACGGTTGGCCGCTGCTGTTGGCTGCACTCTGCAGAGATGTAGTCTTCTGAGTTCAGACGCCGTGGCGGAAGCTCTGTAGCAGTTTACAGGAGTTTGAGAAAGCACCGTTAGGTTGGTAGGTCTCCCGGCCATGTTTCTTTGTGAAAAAAGAGAAAACTTGCTTGT